AAAAAGTTAACTAAATGTATACGTTACTATTTAAGTTTTAAAAGTTAACAGTGCTGTGGTAAAAAAATAAAAATTTGAATAATGTGAATTGTCGTTTAATAATATCGTTACAGCACTATTTAAAACGCCGGCAACAATTTGATGCCGTCAATAAAAAAACAGCGCACTATCGTCAATACAACACGTATTATATTATATTATATTATTATTATTTGTAAATGTATTTTTTTACATCCATTGTTAAACGAACCGACGTGCGCTAGCTTTAAAAAAGGTAACTCCCACAGTGCCACGCATTATTATTACACCGCGTAGTTAAAACGACAGGCCCGCACACATGAACGCCGCCGACGGGATAGGATTAGGGAAAAATGCACCGGGAAAAGGGATGAAAAAGGGGAAGGGGGGGGGAGCGGCATAGCTCCAGCTAATCTCTGCGGTCGAATTAATGGCACGTTATCGAACAAACGGACTTTGCGGGACGATTGTGCTGAAAACTGCCACCGCCGCCGTTGACTTTATATCATTATATTATTATACACAGACGATATACCGCGGCAGTTTGTCAACCGGCCTTGACTAATGGCCGCCACGTTCTAACAGTTCGATTGTAACCGTGTGATATCGTGTCTTTGTACTAAATACTACCAACAACAATAATAATAACAGAACGAGCGTTAAGACGACACCCCTTTTGTGTATGCCTCCCCTCGATAATTCAATTACAAAAGGTAGATGTTGTAAGGTAATTATTGTAATGTGGCAAAACATTAAAAAAAAAAAAACACCCTAAGCAGAGCCGCCGTCGTCTTATGGCTATGCAGGGTCCCCCTTGGACACACAGAGTTTGGGGGCCCTTTAAGAGAAAACAAAAAAAAAAAACAGTAAAGATGTAAATTATATTATTCCCTGTGCTCGTGTACTTAGGGTAAAGACGGAACTGACCATAAGAAACGAACGGTTCTCGGTTTTAGTGTTCCGTCGCGCTGACAATATAATAATAATGTGTTATTGTTTTTATGCTAATATACTTAATAGTATTATTTTCTAATATCAAAAACAACGCCCTACAACGATACATGGGCACCGTACACGAGTAGGTCAGGATGGATATCGTGCGGCGTGCGTTCCTGCGGGATAGAAAATATTATAAAAAGGGTGCGCGTCTATTGTGATGGAAATTTTCGCCGGGTGGCAGCTTCTTTTTTATTTTTTATTTTTACCCGTAAATGTTGTTGTTGCCGTTTATTGTATACGGGTGCGTGCGGTTTAAACGCTATCATTATACATGTTATTATTGCGAATCACGTTTAGCTAAACGCCGACATAAGTGCCCGGTGGCTTTTTTTTCACCAACACTGACAGCTATAGTCACACGCTTTAATTCGATTAATGGCGAGCCATTGTTTTCGCGCATGTCGTTTACAAGATATTCGTTGTTAGTTTCCTATAAGAACTCTAAATAAAACCCGAATAATAATATATGTTGTTTCATTTGCATCTACGCCTAACGCTGTTTGACAAATCTGCCGGATTAGACGGAGGATACAGACTTTGAAAACCTATCCGGCGACGGACCCGGCAATTGGTTTAATATAATGTGTATATGAAATACACATAAAATCCAAAGCGTTAAGGTTTTATTCGTCCGTCGATCGCCTTTAAAACAAGCTGAACAGCACATAAACAAATGTATAAAACACCGGTGTTGAAATTTAGGGCGAGCGAACTGCGGCGGTGTCGGCCGTTGGTAGGTATAGGACGATAGTGTGATTAAAAAGCTGGTTGTATATATTTCAAAACGAATCGTCTTATCTCGTGTTTCCATTAATCAAATTGAATCGTTCAAACGAGGCGGTTGCCGCAGCGCCAGTTAGTAGGTGATTACTTTACTTTTTTTTTCCTCGTTATTTAGTTTGTTAAATAAATAAAATAATAATCGATCATCGCGAACAACAACAACTTGGCTTGTTTTTTTTTTTTAATATTCCAATATAACTACTTAACGTTAAACGAAACAAGCGATTCGCTTACGGTCGATAAGTTTTCTTGTCTTTTTAAAACATTAAGAACGGTAGCATAGTTATTGTTTGCCGATTTCCATATTTAATCGTTATTATGTATATTTGAAATCAATAATGCACTTTTGAAAAGTCAAATAACATTCGGTAAATATTTTTCAACTGATCGAAACTTCTTTTGAATGATTTCTAAAAGTTTTTGTTTAAATATCTAGAGTTGTCCTTGTCGGGCACCCAACGTTTCAGATCGACATGTTTAAATATACATTCCGTGTTAAACTTTAAAGCTTATTAATATTAGTTTTTCACCTACCTTTTTAAAAGGTTATTATAATCTGTTTTATTAAAAAAAAAAAATAAGAGTTGGTAGAACAGTTGAAACAAACGTGTGGCCAACATAATTTTCATGATAACCTCCTATTATCTGTATTTTATTAAGACAACAGTCAAATGTAAATTCAAATCCGTTTCAGAGTTGCGATTTGAGTTTTATAACTCTGATATCAATTTGCTTATTTTAATTTCGAAGCTACGATGGTCTAAAGTCTTTTAATCAATGAACTCTTTCTCAGAACGGTCTGTATTAATACAAATCTGTTCAAAAGAGTTATTAATTTAATTTACGAATTACCTTACTTTACCTTATTCGATTGCGCATTTTAATTTTTTTTATAAAACGGTTTTCGTTAATCATTTTAATTGGACGGCGTGCGTTCGATAGTATATAAGTAATTAAATATAAATTAAATAAAATTAATAAGTAAAAAGAAAATAGCAACACTGTGACGGAACTTCTGCCGTTCGTCTCGCCACGAGAAGCCAGTTGGACAAATAAAGTACAAATTTAATTAATTATTAGGTACGGTGTAAGATGATTGAGTTTTCTCAAATAACATGATAATATATCAATATTATAGCTTATTCCAATCTTTAATTTAAAGGCACCGTGGTAAAATTTAAATGCTGATTTATTTGATGATTAAACAAACGCATAAATTATCTATGTCCTTTACGGTAAAAAGGAGAACTTTTCCTGTTTGTTGTTAATGTACTAAAGTAATACTTTACTTCTACAATACTCTACTTGAGCGCACTGGTCGAAAACATAGATTTTTTTTACAATGATAAACAGTTGGCTCGCAGTCAATATTATGCTTGTGTCAGTCCCGAATTTGATCAGACTGCCTTCCAAGGACAGACTACTAATTGAATTCTCCCGACTGTTCTTATATATTAATACATTGAAAATTATGTTTTCGTGTTGTTACCGATAGAAGCGGGTGCATGATAATATAGTGGTAACAATACAACAATAGAATCGCCACCGTCAAGACAGGTTGTAAAAAAAAAAAAAAATTGAAAAATGCGATTTGTAAGTAAAAAATAAGTCGAAAATATTTAAAATATTTTACTTTTTTTATTATAAACTTAAAACTGTTTTTATACTATGTATTATATTTTCAGTTATAAGTCCCACGATAAATGTTTCATAGTTATATTTTTCAATCGTTGACGAACAATGGCTATTAGGATTTAAAAAATGTTGTCATATCAATTTATACGTGTCTATGTATAACTCAGATAAAACCGGATAAATTGATAGTATTTTTATAATGGCATTTATTAATAATTTCATTTACTATCCATAGTATTAACAGTAATCCTAACCTAACCTTTATGAGAACAATCACTGACCACAATCAATATCGCGAACTTGTTCACGAAACCAGAGACAGATATAATTGAACACTAATTTCAATTACTCTGAACGAGACGTATATCAATACTTAAACACCGGCAAACGTTGTAATCCGTCAAGTCTCGTTCGAACTTCCATTATTTCTCATTAATATTATTGCAATTCAAATAGAACAATATTACATGGCACCGTAGTCTACCCGTGGCACTATTAAACGAATAAAGAAGCGCCGGCGTGGCTCGTTATTAAAGAAGGTTGGTTTTTTAAGTATATACAATATATTATGTGAGAAAACACGCGGTTATTATGATCGTTTCTCTTTGCTTTAAATCTAAAGCAATATTTTTCGCGTTTCACTTGGGTAAGTGCACTCCCCGGGTTGGTTTTCATTAATATCCTTACACCGGGTAAAAATTCAACAGGAACGCGTTGTATAGACTACCAGTGTAATAACGTCTCCCGGGCAATTAATATAATCGCTTGTTTCTAACCGACTTATCACACATAACGCCTTATATATGTATATATTGCCATGAGTTTTTCATGCAAATAAAAAAAGACCGTTAATAACGCGTAACTAACGTGGATGGGCAATCTTAATAGGTCAATGTCCACAGGCTGCAATAATGTAAATTCTATGTTTAATTTTCTTTTAGCGAGACCGGATAAAAGAAAACCGAACGGATGGAATTGTTAAGTACTCGCAGAGATCTCTTGGGTAAAATAATATAAATATGTTTAAGTTCGGTATAAATACTAAAAATGTTTATTGCTGTTTTATAATTACAGTTTTTATTTTCGGTTCGATGCCAGCTGAGAAGGTAATAATATTACAACGATGTGTTTTAATTAAAAACCATAATATTGGCGGAGACCAGGGGAGAGGGGCTTGGGAAACCTTAAAATTAGTGCTTTTCAAAATACTTAAATTACATTTTTTAGCGAGCAATTTGTTGAAATAAAAATAAATGTACTACTAATTTTAAGTTTTAAAGTTTTTAGAATGCCAAGCCCCCCTTTGAGCTCCGCCAATGATATTAATTATGTAAAACTCGCACACAAAACGGATTACAATTTTATAATAATTTTTTTTAATAATTGTAATCAAACCAATTTATATGTTGACATAATTACATGGGGTTTTCAACTGACTAGATCAAATCGAGATTGTAACGAAGAATTAAACGAATATAAAATAAAATTCCAACCGACCATGACGTGCAATCTTGATTTGTGTTCAACAAAAAATAACGATAATAAAAACGGCAATCGACACTCACCTCTGGCGCGGTATCTCCTTCCAAGTACATCCGAGGTCCGGGCAACACGTGAAAACGCACTTGCACAAACAAAAAAAAAAAAATGTAATGTTTAACCTGAACGAAAACGTTTCGTCCGGCCACAGGGCGACTTCCGGTCGAGAACCCCGGAGTTTTTCGCTAACCGGCGACGGCTGCCGAGTAGTATTTTTAAAAGAAAATTCGTTTATTTTTTTTTTTTAATAAATAAACAAATCGACGACAGATTTACTTGCGGCGACCGCGACGGCAAAGGCGACGGGACGCGACGGGCGCTAAGAATCGACTGCCGGTCGGCCACGCACCGGAGGAGCGCCGCAGCATCAAATTCGCCCTTTCGGCGCACCCTCTGCTCCCGGCTTTCCCCGCCACAAGCACCCGTTCGCATAACGTATATGCAGTCCACTCGGTCGGTTGGTAAACCGACAACAAAAAAAAACCCGACACCGGGGGCACATTCTTCGTTTAGGGGTGGGGGGGGGGGGGAAATGTCACCTGTGAAAACTTAACTATCGCAAACCGACGGTAAACGATAAACCGATCCGTCGAAATTGCATAGTTGAGCAGCGCAATTACAACAAGACGCGAGCGGTGTTGGCGTTTTGTGCGACGACCACCTGCTGATTTACCGGGACTCCTGACCCGGCCAGGCTACTTGGTTTGGCTATCCGGAATGTTTTATTTTCCAAGGGAGGCGCCGGTTGTCAGTAGTGACGGTAACCTGTTATCAATTTTGATAACAGTTGAAAAATGTTATTGTTACTACCAAAATAACAGTTACTGTTGTTTTCATATAGGTAGTAAAAAAATTGATAGGGCATAGATAGAGACAGTTAAGGGTTGGCACTCTACTAGCGACAAATATAATTGAATAAATCTATATCGCTTGGCATAAGGAAACCCAAAAAAATTGTATAAACAAAACTTCCTAGATGAAATCGATGCGGTGGTATTTCGATCAGCGAGAGCGGGTTACAGCACCGCAACCAAAAAAAACACCCTAGTATATACTGCTGGCCTGAATCCAGTGGAAGATAGAGTAATAAAATATTATAGATGAACGGAGAGAAATGTATAAATCAGAAAAAATGTATTTCCTGGAAAAATAAAGCTCTGGAATCATAAAGTGCTCTACGGCGGAACGAGCAAGAGAGGGGAGAAAGCATATAGTTTTTAGTAAAAAATTACTATATTGGGGTCACGGCGGTCACTAGTTTAATAGAAATAATAAATTTAAAAGTAATGTGTAAAAATAGTTTTTAGAAAAACCGTGTCGATTCAAATGGGAGGTCTTAAAATGGTTTTATAAAGATGTGTTGTTTTTGTGTGTCCGAAGACACATTAACTTATTTTCCTGTGGACCGATTTACTCGAGGTAGCACCTCTATAGATCCAAAATCGTATGCGGTTGGGAAAACCGAAAAACAATTTGACCGGTTTTGATTTTAGGGATTTAGGTCTGAAAATTGGGTCGAAGGTAGGTTAATTTAAGGGTTCTAATTGTAATAAAAATATGTCGAATAAAATTGATTTTATCTTATATCAATAACCTTTTTATCTTATATCTAACAACATAATCTGGATATTGTAATATGGATATAGTACTACTGTACTTTTTACCATAACTTTATAGCTGCCTACTACAAACAGTATAGTGTATCATTTTTGTCCGAGTTTACAAACTTTGTTGTACCGAACATTTTAATTTTATAAATATATTTTTTTATACATTATATAATAATTAAATAAAAACGAGTCAGTCTTTTGGTTACTAAAAGTTTTTTATCTATATTAAAATACACTGATTTTCAATATCCATTGATTTAAACGCCACAGCCTATAGGCTGTTTATATAGTGAATTATCAAATTATTTCTATAGACCATGTTATATTAATATATATAAATGAATTCGTTTAATCCGATGATGGCATAACGATTGTTAATCTGTATTGTGCCAAAAGGGTACGATTTTAATTTCTATAGATGTTTATAGATCGTATACAATAAATAAAGACTCTCAATAGGCCACCGTCTGGCTTTTGCTAAAAGCTATCCGTACTATATGAGTATCGTTTGTGTACAAAACAACTTCAAATTCCATTTCAACTTCAAAGTCGAATGAAAACCATGGGTGAACTGCTATTGAAGTTAATGGCGGGTAAAAGGCCTTAGTACAATTTACCGGATCTTTGTGCTCAATATATATATATATATATATATTTTGTATAGAAATATAAAACATAATACTGGCATTACCGGTAAGATCAACGAGTTCGGTAAATTGTTTTCACCGAAAAATGTGAGGACAAAGTTTATTTACATATTAACCTAAAGGCGTTGTCATTCTCGTAAAACATGTTGTTGATTAAAAAACGGTCCACCATAAAATACCAATCTTTCAAAAAAAACACACATAATTGATTATTGAAAAACTAAGAGGACGAAGTAGCGAAATTTGGTCTTAACCACTTAGTTTTTTTTAACCATGTTCTGTCACACTTGACACCGTTAAAAAAATTATTAATCAAGTTTTTTTTTTTTACTTTAATACTTCAAACACGTATTAAATGTATTGTGGGTTTTACTATTTAAGTTATATACAGCTTATAAGTATATTATATATAGTGGACACGCCTAGCCCGTATTTAAATTTTGGTATTACAGTATATAGTTTTCACGTTAATAATAAATAAATAATAGCGTTAATAATAATATTATTAATACTATCGCTTAGTAAATCGGAGTTTTCAATTAAAAATTTCCAAAAATATGTGCATGCGTTTCTTTGGTCATTATGTTTATTATGATTATCGTTATTATTTCTATTTCATATTTGTCGTTAAACCGTTGAAACTACAGTAAAATAAAAATAAAAATACTAGATAATAGTGGTAGTGGGGTTCGCTTTAATGGGTCATTAAAAAAAAAAAGTCATTCGAACTTGCGTTATTATTATTATTTCCATTGAATTCAAAAGCTTTGAACGACTCTCTCGTTTTTTCTTCTTTTATTTTTTCCATACGTTCCTGTAATGGATATTCCGACTATATATATATATATATGTGTGTGTATACCGTATTCTGCCATCGAAATACGTTTTATGAGTATTATGTGGAATATCAGAGACTAACGGACCGTTTACAAAGTTAGGTGAGATTTTGAGAACTGCTCCGGTAACCCAGCCGTCGGTTGTTGTGAGGGTCAAAACTGGGTGTATGCGAAAATAATAATGTAATGCACGAGATGTGTTTCCTATTGAACATTTATACAGGTCCGTCCGAATCTAATTTCGTTAATCGACTCATAGCGATGGTCGTGCGGTTTTCTAAAGACTGGCCAAAAGCAGAGCCCGCATAGAAGTTTCGTCCCTTTTGAGTTTTTGTCTTAACAGAAACCACACCGAAGACAAAGTTTAGCAACGATGGTTTTGCTCGCACGATGTTATTTGCACTGAACGGACTGTGTAATAATTAAAGTCCACAAAAGTTTATCCCGCCCGTTAATAAGTGATGAACAAGACGATACACGTCCGCCGGTCAAGTCCAATCGAACAACTTAGATAAATGATCAATTCTGTACGTCGAACCTGGTTAGACACACTGGTTCTCGTATCAAGGCGACGGAAATAATCGATAATCAACTCCAATCGGAAGGGAAACCACTTACAATTATTATTCAAGTATAATGTCGTCTCAAAACTTAATAACAGATGCTCAAGTGTATTCTTATTAAATTAATATTTGGTTTTAATTACTTATACATTGAACGAACATAGCATCGTACATGTATTTAATTTCGTACAAACAGAACAAGAGTTATTTCATTTGTCTTATCTTTGTGGGACACTCCGTAATTATTATCAAAATAGGTATAAAAAAACACGGTTTATTTGAGTAGTTGCGTACGTTAAGAAAACACATTATTGCAATATTTAACACGTTATTATGTTAACTTTGTCGAAGAACGCATTTAGGTAAACGTATCTTCGCAATTATTTAAATATAATGAGGTATGCAAACTATTTGCGCGCAATTCCAAGGTAAGCAACGAACGTAAACTGTGCCTAAAGTTGAAAAATGTAATTAGAAAATACCGCAATAGTCGTAACAAACGAAAAATAAATTATTCAAACAAAGAAATTGTTATTATCTTTTTAAGCATAAACTTAAAAAAATGTTCGGCTAACGTTGTGTGGTTGCTAACAATCTCGTACCGCAGAAACCCCTTTTTAGCATTACGGACAGCAGACCTATACCATCGCTCAGCGTTAAAAACTTAAAAGTTTAAGAATTCTTTCTATGTGTATTTTGTGGCGTGATTAACAATAACACAGACTGTGAGACACAAAATATGTAGATGTTTATTGGTGTGTTGTGCTACAAAACCGGATTTTTTTTTTTTAATTAAAATTTATATTTCTATAGAGTAGTCGCGCGTTGTATGATTTACAACAGTACTGATAGGAAGTGACGATTGTTTAGTACAAGAAAAATAAGATAAAAACTCAAAAATATTGTCATAGTAATAGTAATGTATGAGCTGAAATCATTGAAACAAATTGTAATTTACAGTTTCCAATTAAAAACAAACGCATACTCTGCACAGTGTTTACAAAAAGTAGACTCAAACGCATTATAAATAACGATGAACTGTTAATGTTCGTTTTAGGTTTTCGTAAGTATCCAGTTACTCTTGTTCTCAATTCAATTTTTCAATAATAATGAGGTGAAAACATGAACAGCTTACCCTAACGTTTCAGTATAAAATATATAATATGATTCGCGCATAATCCATAAATCATTTATTTCTAACAACGCGCTGAGACTCGAAGGGGTTCTTTTGTTATTGATAAAAAATAATATGAATACAATCATATTTAATGGTTTATATTATATTTTACTTCTATAGTGTAAAGAGTATTATTATCAATTAGGGGTATTGTGAACAAATACCATAAATCCCCAAAATTCCTGTAATGTCCACAATGTTATTTATATAATTTAAATTCCAAAAGTATATTTTTATAAAAAAAAAAAAACACAACTTAAATTGCATGGTATTATTCTTAATAATATCATTCTAAATACTATTTTAAAAATAGTTATTTGGTTTTAAACTTATTATTTAACGGATGAACAAAAATACAGGTATATAACAATTATTTAAAGTTGAAAAATATGTAAATCTGTATTGGCAGTTTTTCTCGATTTCAAAAAACAAGTTGTATAATTTTTGTGTATACAACTGTCCCACAATCTAGAGGGTTTTAA